GCTGCTGGTGTTTGTGTGCAGTGTCTGTAGGACACTAAGGCAAGGGTCTTTTTATCCCTAGGCAAAGCAGGAGTTTTCAGGCAGCAGTGCATTTCTCAGGAAATACTCTGAGGTAAGAGGAATAAATCCAGACTAAATATTTTTTCTCTGCTGGATCACTGACTCAGTGGTGCAGGTATGATTTTTGTCAGGCATGCTGGTGACATACAAGCAGCAGCAAAACCCTGCTAATGAGGCTGGTATAAGATGCTATATTGCTCTGCTCTCTCAAATAGCTAGATTAACTGTGTGTTTTCTTATATCCTGGAATGTGGTCAATAGCAAACCGGGGGTGGGAGGGCACTGATTTTTAGTAAAACACTTCAGTAACTTACACAGGAATATTATGTAGCAAGTTCTAAAGTGCTTTGCTGCTGTTTCCCATCCAAGTGATTTTTCACGGTGCGTTTGGTAAGGAGTTATTAACTGCAAACAGATTTAAGTTCTGAAGACTCCCTAGATCTAAACCAATGCTTGTCATTCAAACGCCCCTACATGAATCAAGTACAAATGTGAATGTTCACAGCCAGTGCAGTTCATTTGGAACAAGCATGCATTTAGCATTACACAAAACACAGCCGTCCACCCCTTGACAGTCCTTGCTTGTCCTGGCATTTTGAGGGAGAGGGGGGAGGACATTTATTCTCGATGGTGAACTTTAAAAGTATATTTTCTTTTTAAATGCCAACCTATTCCTTTTCCATGTGTGTTTCAAAAATGTCTCTGACACTTTGGCTCAATACCCAGGTATTCCAGCTGTTATTCTAAGATGGTGGAAATTAAAATTCTGTTGACTTCACTGGAGCTTTGCCAGTCTTTCTCAGAGGAAGATTTGATTTCAGAATATTTAGTGGAGCATGTATCTGACATGCACTGCAGGCACTATGGGTGCTGGGTGGTAGCTGTACTGATGCCAGTAGCTGGAGTGATTGGGAAAGGGAAATTCCACTGTGTAGCAAGGGTTGTGGTTCCAACCTTCTCATCTTTCCCATCATCAACCTTCCATCTCATATGGAAATGATATATTCAAACTGTCTCTTGCAAAGGTGGAACTGTGTCAGGGATGGAAGTGTGTCCTGACTCCAGGATCCTGATCACTTTGAGTCCAGTAGAGAAGAGGTTTGAACCCTGGGCTCCTGAATTTCCTGTTGGTGCCATGGTCTCAGGTCACCACATCCTGAAAGCATCTCTTTTTCATCACAGATCTAAAAAAATATCTTGACTTAGTAAAATTGAAGTACTATTTTCTCATACTGAAAAAGGGAGTCAGTGCCTCAAATTTTCCATGCTTTTTGCAAATGTATCATCTTTCCTATTAAAATTTACTGTGTCTCCTTCAAATTTTTTATCCTTTAACATCTGTCATAGTACTACCATAAAAAAAAGTAAAAATCACCAATTGTTCTAGCAAGCACAAAGCAATGGACCTAATGTAGGTTTCATGTCACAACAACTTGGTCATATAACTAATGAATCCATTTGTAAGATACCTGTTGACCTCCACAGACAAGTAGTTCCTGATCCTGACTTTGTTTAGTTGTTCCTGTGCATAATCCAGCTGCAGACACGGAAATAAATGATAAATCTCCTGTGGATTTCAGTGTGCGCAGGTTGAGCCCCTCATTTATTAAGGGTTTATCATTGCAAATTTGCTGAAAACACCAAACCCTCACAGCTCCTGTGGGCCTCATTTTCAGTCCTGCAGAGGCATCATAATACCATGTTTGCTATAGCTGAGTCATTCCCATGACAACAAATGGAGTCTAAAATACAAGATTCTGACCTTGCTGTGTGACCAAACAAAACAGAGAAGCTGGGCATCGAATACAAAAGTTCATTGAACACAAATACCTATAAACCCAGCAAGTAGGTGGGAAAGAAGCAGCAGATAAAGACAAAATATTTCTCCTTCTCTGAAGTTCTGCCCTAAGGCAACTGTCCCTCTACAGATTTTTCTAGTCCTAGGATCTGCTAGGATTAGCCTGAGTATCCTCCTCTGCAGAAAGCTCCAAGGAGAGCAAATGAGAACTTGTTAATAAATTCATTTTGCATTAATTCTTTGTGGAGGATGAGCTGTGAAAAGCAATACTGTTTTACAGCTTCTTCCAGTATATATAAATGTAAGGCATTTTGAGAAATGGAATGAGATTGAAATGTTATTTGAGTTGCAGTAATAGACTTTGCTATAGAAATCAAGGCAGAGTCAGCAAACTGCTCTGAATCAAATGCTGGATTGGTAGAAGAATCAGGGTAGGAAAAACATTAGTGGCTAACTGACAGTGTGGTCATCATAGGAAACCAGTGACAGATAAGATATCTGCTCCCTGGGCTGTGGCAGGAACAGAGACAAGGCACAACTGGAAATGCTCCCATTTCCCACCAGTTCATGGGCAGAAAGATGTAACAGGGAAGAGATGTGTTGCAGCTGGCCTGGCAATGAAAGAATAGTTTCAGATTGAAGTAGCTTTCAAAACCAATTCTAAAGGATTGACAGCAGTAAAACAAAAGTTTTAAGTGTTACTAGGAAGACTGGTGGTCCTCACAACTGTGTCAGTGAGAGGTGGACTTCTAAGTCCCAGTCTGAGTTTGTGAGAACATTTTCTAATTGTAATGTACTATTGAACAGTCACTCTCAGGATCCTACCCTGTAACAACATCAGCATTAAGACTTTCTGTGCCTTAGTGGTAGGACAAAGAGCATGGTTTGAATTGTCCCAACACAGAATTAACTTGAATTGGATCTTCCACTGACAGAACTGCACCTGTTAATATCTACAAACAACCTTGCTTATGGATTTTGGAACGTGGCAAGGGTCCTTTTCCTTATATATAGGTAATCTGATAAATGTATTTGTCATATCGTTGTATATTATGGATGCAATGAAGAATTAAGAATGAGAAACCTTTGTCAACGAAAGCAGAGGTGTGAATGACAGTGCACTGGTTTACAGTAAATGCACCAAGAAGTGGCTGTTTCATGGCATTACAGAGACAAGCCCAGAGAGCTCTGACCAAGAGTTGTGGCTGCTGCTCTTGTGCATAATGGATTGAGCAGTGACTGTAAACACAGAAGACCCTCCGGGTTTTGTTCAGCCCATAGGCCGATGATATCCAGGAGGGGAGAAGGATTTCAGGTCTGGACTAGAGAAGGGAAAGTCTCATTAGTACAGGTACTTATGCCTTATACTTTGAGAACAGGTCACACTAGGAGGAGATGACATCTGCAAGGCAGCCAGGTTGGTGCTGCTTTGATTTCATGAGTAAATAATCACTGTACCCAGAGAACTTGCCCAGTGATGCTCAAAGTCAGTCCCACTCACACCCTGGCATGTACACTTTATCCACTGACAGCTCCAGTGTCCAGGGATCTGAGTTTTCCTTGGCCTCAGTGAACATTTACAACCCAGATACTGTGGGCCAGAAATGATAGAGCAAGCAGCTGTTGCTCTGTTGCCTCTACATCTGCCTGACACAATAATTAAATCTCATCAGCTGTTCAATATAATGGAAGCAAACCAACTACAACAGAAGGATTTTGCAGCACAATTGTCTCATGGTGTATAACTGCAGCTGTATATTTACCTTTGTAATTAATTCTGCAAGCATTTGTATGGAGTTACAAGGGACTGACTAATTTAGAAAGCAGTGGAAGAGATCATTAAAAATAGCAAAAGGCATAATTACTTTCTTCTTCCATCAATCTCCTCCATATCTTCTCTGCTGATGTTTCCCATGGACTATATTTATGTTCATTATCTTACCTTCTTACCAAAATTATCTCAAGTTTCATTTCTAGTGTGGGAAAAAGGTGACAGTGCTACAGTAGGACAAAGGAATTGTCTGTTAAACACCCCGTAGTGGGCAGAAGCTCTAATTTTGCTGCAGGACTGACATTGCCTGTGACTTCAACACAATAAATTAATTTCCTTTTGTGGAAAACATGGGTCCCATTTCAGTGGATGTTCTGTGCTGACATTTATGATGTAGGCTAGTACCTAATGTAGCTGATTAAGCACTGCATTTATGCTCATTGTATAAGTCCTTGTTTGATGAAATAAGTAGGTTATTGAGCCCTTTTTATCAGATATCTTTTCAAGAGAGTTGACTTTTTCTTTTTTTTTTTGGAAACTCACACAGTTCAGCTCATTGGCAGGAGTTACCCAGGAATCTTGCCAGTAGAAATCTCCCTTCTTAATTAATCTTTTCTGAATTCTGTAGCCATAGATATATTCTCTCATGGTCATGCTAAACCAGATCAAATTTAACCAGAAGTTAACTGACCTACTCTAGTTTTGCACCAGCATAAAGAAAGGTGTATTGGGACTCCTTTGTGTGTGTCCCCAAGGGCTGCACAGAAATAGATGTGGCTTTAATGTCTCCTTCACTATCAGTGTTGTATTTCTCTCATTCTTTTGGATCACATAAAGTTTTAAGCTGGACCTGGTAAGGTATAAAGTATACTGAAGCAGGCTGCACTGTGGGACCATTTTTCTGACCTCCGGTCTTGTAGCCAGTGCATGGTGCTGCAGGGCAGATGACTAGGAGCTGGATGAGCTGCAAATGAAGTTCCTTTTACTGACTGGAGAATATCAAACACAGACCTTTCTGTGCCATATGGTGGCTGTGAGGGGACCAGTTAGCAACTTAGGCATGAGCATGTGTAACCACCACTTTGTAACTGGAAAATGGGCTTGGAAGCAATCATTTTCTTCTAGAAGGTCAGCAGTGTTTTCCTTCTAGAAAGCTAGTTTCCAGCAGAGAATTCTTGAAAATAGTGAAATATTCTCCTGAAAGACATATTTTACCTTCAGTCAGCTTCAGTGTGCCCAGCACCCAGGCTGGATCCTAGGCCAAGAACAGCAGGGGCTGTTGTGACCTTTTCCCTGGCAGCTGGATGTATTTGAAATAGACCTTCCCAGTAACTTCTGTTTCTGAGCTGCTCCGTGGTTTGTGTTTTCCAGAAGCGTTCAGGAGGCGTGTGCTCATACCTGCATCGTGTGTGCCGGGCAGCACTGCCCCTGCAGCTGCTCCTCCTGCTGCTCCTGCTCCTGGCCTTCCTCCTGCCCCTGGCAGAAGAGACCCACAGCTGCACTCTGGCCAACAACTTCGCTCGCTCCTTCAAGCTGATGCTGAGATACGACGGCCCTCCTCCAACATAAGCCCTTGGCATGGCACGAGGTGACTGGCAGAAGTGCAGGCTCTTTGTTTTTAATTGCAGCTGTTGTAGATTTTAGGGTTTTTAACGCGGCCATCACGTCAGCTGGGTAGATCACATAATTGCAACGTAAAATTAACCCACTTTAATCAGGTATTTGAGCAAAATTGATATTTTTACAATTTTTTTATCATTGTATTTATAATATGTATATAGAGATTATGTATGTATGTATATATATATGTATAAATGCATATCTGTAATTGAACTAACAACCGCCATCCTCTCATCCACTGATTAAGGATAATTCTGCAATGTTTCTGCCATCTTTCAGCAAGCAATACTGAAAGATGGTATTGTGGGATTTTTCCCATAAGGTTCTTGTTTACAACATAAGTCAGAGCAAGTATGAGAACATGTGATCATGCACCAGAGTGTAAACTGGAGAGCAGTAGAATCATGTTTGAATAGAGTGGTTGACATTCAGCCCAGGGAAGATTTGGACTATTCCCTTTGAAATCTTGAGCTGGTTTTTCAGTATCTGGATACAGGGATTGCAGAAGCGAATAGAAATGTTTCTACTGACTTCAGCAGGAGTGGGGGTGGACCTCCTCTTGTTCTTATTTTTTACCAGATTTCTTTTCCAATTACTGTATTTTCCAGCCCACCTGAATCAGGAGAGGTGGAATACAGTGGGAAGAAAGCTAGAAAAGAATATATTTTTTTAGCATCTCTCTAGCAGGAGAACTTTTAAAATCACGTCATAATTTTCTGAACAAATGTGTGAGCACTGAACAAAACCTCGTATCACCAATCTTGTCTATAAAAAAAGAGTGGGTTTTTTGTTAGTTTTTTTGTGTTTGTGAGGTTTTGTGGTTTGGTTTTTTGGGTTTTTTACTTTATAAAGAGGCATTTGGTAACGGATTATAAAGCCTAAACAGTGGGATACAGCCTGGCTCAGTGTCAGTAAAGCAAAAGTTGGAAGTACTTTAATAATACCACCCTGGAAACAAGATTCCTACCTAGTATTCTTTTGTATTAATGGTTTACTGAAACTGTGTAAACTGATTGTATCAAAGACAGTCAAGCATAGATTTCTATGTAATCTAAACTCTAAAATTATGCCAACTTGTCATTTATTTACCCAACCCTATGACTGATTTATCAAATTTTTGAATGCACATTTTAACATTGCCTTTTAATGTAAAAGCAATTCTCACTTCAGAGTGATTAAGCCATCCTTAGAGGTGTTTTACCTAATTGATTTCTGAGAGAAAAGGTATTTTCTGAGAGCTATCCCTTATTATCTCATGGTTTTAGCCACAGTAGTAATAATGAAAAAAAAAAATTAACAAACAGTTACTTTCCCTCTCCTGGCTATGTTGCAGGAGAAATTTCTCTTCTGCATATCAGTATGGGGTTCATGGTGTTGTTTTCCGCCTAAGATCTAAAATAATATCTGTCAGACTGCAGGAGGAGACACTTATTTAACAAAATCATTAAAGTTCTGTTAAAAAAGCAGACTTGTGTAGAACTGGGAGGCACAACAGCACAGAGCTCAGTTTAGGCACAGGATTAGGAAAGCAGGAGGTGTGGAAGAGGAGCAGCTAAACAGAGAGGAGAGGTGTCCATCAATTTGTAAAGCCTTAGAAAAGGGGTCACAATTAACACAGAGAACAAGAGCACAGACTCTACAGAGGAAAAAAAATCTCAGAATCTTTTGGGCTCCCCCTCCCTGCTACAGCATTGGTACTATTGCATATTAAACAGCTTTTCTTCAGTTTTAAAGGTTAAAATAGGGCAAGTAACAGAGCTTCTACCAGTGTTCTGAGGAGACTCTTCCACCACCAGGACTCTCTCACTGTGTTCCTAATGATGTTTCTGAATATACTGGGTTTGCTAGTGTTGGATTAAAAGTCTGCTAAAAGTGTAAAGAGTGGAAATTAAAGGAGAGACAGCAGAGATGATGAAAGTATCAAAGTGCAAGGAGAGCATGGAGCAGGAGCTGAGCTGATGTGAGTTAAAAACCTGTCAGGAGGAAGCAGAAGAGCTCTCAGAGCAGACAGAAGGGACTGGAAACTGAAAGATGAGAAGAGTCCATGTATGCTGAGCAATAAGACATTCACTTGAGGAAGCAAAGGAAGGCCTGTGATTTATTTAATGAAGGAGCCAGATGGAGAGGAGATATAATTTGTCAGAGAATAAGGCATGTTAATGCCTTCTTTGCAACCATTCTTTCTGGGGGCATAGGACATACCTTCTCCTCTCCTGATCAGCTGTGCAAATGCCATGCACATTCCTCTGAAAATTGCTGCCAGCCCTGGGGGAAGAAGCCCCTGTGGCTGCCTGGCAATGAGTTGATCATCACACACATCTCCATGTCAAATTAAATCTTCCTTTAGAAAAGAAGTGTGGGGGAAGAGGGGCAGTAACAAAACCTGCTCTTTGTGGTTGTGGATGTGTGCAGGTGTGCACACACTTTTCTGTGACATAGCTACACTGCAGTTCTCTAGGTTTTGCTGAGCTCTTCCAGGTGATGAAAGTAAAATGCCAGTGTGAAAGTAAAAATAATGAGGAATAATAAAGCTGGAAATGGAAATCAGTAGGGAGATAGGTTTTTTCTACGAAAGCACAAAATCTCACATCAGATTTCTTTCTGCCGAACCTTTCTGATCTGGGTGATTTGTATGGGTTCACAAATTCATTTGACACCATGGGAGTGTGTTACAGGGAGAAAAATATTCTGCACAGAGGATCTTACAAGAACAACTGCATCATCACCTTGATGTTTCACTGTTGTGGCAGGTTTGAAAAAAAAAACCCAAACAACTAAATTAGGAACACACTTTTGCTGCTGGGATTGCAATCAGTTTATTCAGTAAGTCCCCTGTCTGTAATCTTGGAAAGTTTTGCTTTAAATCTCAGTCAATCCATTCTCATTAACTTAAATAATCTAAATATCTCACAGAAGTGATGAACATTTCTACTTTGCAATGAAAGCTATCCAAAGCACAGGACTTTATTGTTCATATTGCTGAAAACAATTTAAGGATTCCATAATGTCATTTACCTCACCTGTTCAAGGCAGGTGTGGGATTTTCTGGCAAAGAAAGAAAGAAAAAAATCACAAAAGTAAGTTTGAGATGTAAATGCAAAATTTAAAATTTACTTTCTTTTTGTTCTCTTGTGGTTATTGGGGGTTTTTTTTTCCTGAAAATATTGTGATACTTATTCCTGGAAGTGTGTGTAGATATTAATCAAGTCAGTAATTGGAATAATGAAAACAAACTGCCCAGTCCAGCTTCCAGGAAACTGTACAAAACTCCCAATTCCTTGAAACACAAACTAAATCATACTTTTTCCAAACCAGTCCTTAAAATCTTGAGCACAGTTCCTCATCTTTGCTCACAGATGATTTGGTGGTTATATGCTCACTTTTGTGCCTATAAAATCCCCAGCTCATACATCTCTGACATCCAGATGTAACTGAGATGTGTTATAGCTCAGGTTCAGACTGGGGCCACTGCCTTAAGCCTTCCCTTGCCAAAACATGGGATGCAGAGAACCCTGGATGTGTCTGCAGCTGAGGACTTTCACTGTTTTGCCCTAATCCAGATGCAGCCACAGTCAAAGGTGCTAAAGCCCTCTAAAACATGCTGAATATGTTTGAGGTTGTGAGTGGCTTGTGCACCTGGCCTATACTCCATGCAGACACCAGCCTGTTCACAGAGCTCTGTCCAAGCTCTTGCCTGCACTCCTGGACCCAGGAGTTGCTTGACCACATAAATGACCCTGCAGTGCTGAAGGCAAAATTCTGCACTCCATTGCCCATGCATTACAGTATGACATTGCCCAAAGGCACACTTTAACCCCAACCTTTGGCATGAAAGCAAGCCTCATTTGTAAACTATAATTGATTTTGAAGCCTGATGCTTTCCAGAGAATTTTCCATGGCAGCAATACATTGAGGTAGAAAATTGCTATTGTGCCCCATGTCTATTAACGGCCCTTTCTCTGATTCCAGCCAGCAATTTAAATGGTGTTAAATATGATTTATAAATGCCCTCTTCAGAAATCTCTGTATGAAAAACATCTTCAGTTCTAAGCACGTACATTAAAAATGTTGTATTCCTGTTAGCCCTTGATCTTCAGAGCAGTCATGATTTCTACCAAGTGTTACTTTATTTGTACTGAGCAAGAGACTTAGAAAACTCAAACATTTGAGGCTGTAAATAAAGCTACTAGGCTAACTAATAAAACCACCTAGTGATCACTGAATAATTTGGACAGTTTTTAGAATGGCTTTATGCTTGTCCTTAATCCCTTTTGTTGGAGTATTTGTAGACCATGGAGAGAAGAAATGTCTCCAAAAAATGGCCATTCCTAGATAGACAGAGGGTGATCTCTGCACATCAGAAGAAACAGCATTTTCTCTTTAGTTGCTCTAGATCTCAGGAGTTTTGCTACATCTGATCTCCTTTTCAATATTAAATAGGAAATATTTTACTTTGATGTGTGTGCATACACATCTCATTAAGACTAAAGAGATTTGAAGAGTGACTTCATGTACAATAATTCTTTTAACTTGTGTTGACAAGAGAGTACATTGTCCTCTTTTCTTCAGGGAAAAACCCAACCAAAACTGCTGTGTGACAGAGGTTACCAGACCAAACAAAGCCTTTTGGAATAACTAAAGATTACAGACTGAAACTAGATTATCCACCATAGGAAACTGGAAAAACAGTTTTGCCTTTCAAGAAATGCTGGTATAAAATCCCCAACAAACATGTCTTTATCAGGCATCATGGATATCTTTCAAGTCATAGGTTATGCACCCAGTTGGCTGTAAGAGCTGCTTTTGGAGACTTTACAACACCATGGACAGTATCCTTTGCTGGCTGCAGCTGAAAACATATTTGTCCAGAGAACCAACTTCTGCCAGAATCTCTGGGGGCTGTTGAAGATATTCTTAGCAGTTCCCAGATCATTGACCTGCTCTGAGTCATGACAAGTTTATTGCATTAATTTATCTGTCAGCAATTGGCAACTCTCAGAAACAAGTTTATTAAAATACTAAAGATAATATTTCTGGTACCAACAACATGACTCTTTGAGAAATCAATCTTATTACTTTTGCCATATTTAAGAAAAGATATCTATTGGTTATACTGGAATAGAAACAGGTTAGTTTCAGGTGTTGGGTAACTGCAGGATGTTTTAGATACAAGGCATTTTGACTTGTACATGTCTATTTAAGAATTGTGAGATCATGTTACACTTGTTAAATGGTAAAACAAAACAAAGATCCTTGAATTAAAAAAATAAAAAGAGAGAACAACAAGGCAGGATGGAATAATCTGTCACACAGTTGGTTTTTTTATTATCTCTTTTCTATCCAATTTAAAATATGAATATGTCTACCAGACAGTTATCAGCAGATGTGGAAAACAAGAAATATCTATCAGGAGTATACCGGTTCAAACTGTAGCCTAAGTGACATCTCTGTTCCTTAACCTGCTTCAGCAATTGCCAGATTTTACCTCATTGTACCTATGAGATAAAAACTCTCCTCCTAGTAAAGTGTGGGTAAGGTGAAACTGCAGCTTAAGGTGCAGCATCCCAGTGGAAGCAGTAGGAGACATTAATTCTTCCAAAAGCAGCCTGATATCCTGATGCAAGAGAGGAACATGTAGGCCTGGCATAATGAGAGCAGTGCAGGACTAATGACACAGGAACAAGGGCTTGCCATCCTGCTCTGCCAGACAAAATTTAGACAGTAGCTGTCAGCACAGTTCAGTTTCATGTCCCTGACTGTGGAGAGAGGCTCCCCTCAGGGTGATTCACTTGAGCTGAGATTTGAGCCCTGGAAGTTTTTTTTTTTCCCTTTTCATTAAATACAGAAGAAACTGCTAAATTAAAACCCCTCTGTGACAGGTTAATGGTAGGTGGTGGGTGCTGATGCTCCAGGAAAAGATACAGGAAATTATATTATAGATGGAAAGATAGTCATGATGGTCTCTGTTCAATCCTCAGGAGGCAGAAATACATTGTAGAACTGAAGTGGGAGTTTTTCTGTTCCTTTTCAAGTAAATGTCAGGTGTAGTCTTTAGTCGTCTGTA